TTTATGATGATACTTCAATTAAGAGTAGGTTCATCATGTAAATGCCTAGGACGGGATTAGATGGTGAGTGCTGGTTGGCGGCCTATGCTCCTCCACAAGGAGTAACAGGCTTAAGTAAGTAAGCATTTAAGTCATTATGTAAATTAGTGATTTGTAATTATTTAGGAAAAAAATAACCGGCTACAATGAATATACCATGATGCCTGTAAATATTTTTGTAAATGTTATGTTTCAATTTTTTATTTTTGGATAAACTCATTAATTATTCAAAAGCTCTCTGATCTATCACCACTATCATTGTAATGTAGTATAATAATGTTGTGAGAAATACCATTAAATTTCTACAACTATTATACCAATCGCAATATATTTTGATGGATATCATGAACCGACTGATGTTAGGCCACCGTTGGAAACCTGGAAGCACTGGACGACCGCTTTGTCCTATTGTGGGACTTCTCAGCAGTGCGCATCCACGATTCCGCTCACGGGATTCTAACCCAGAGCCTTCAGTCTCGTGCACAATATATTTATCGCCTAAATATGATAACAAAATAATCCTTGAGTTATACTTCAAAAGCATCAACTAAAGAAAAGTTTAAAGTTTTACCAATTTTTACATAAACACTTCTCATTAACATTTTGAACTAGAAAAAAAACATTCAAATACTGGGTTTATTTCGTGTTCCTAGATAATAGTAAGACTTTCTGTCTTGATGAAATAACACATCCTTTATTTTGTAAGGATACTTAGCTGTGATCCATTAGTTCAAACTGTATTTTTTGTAAATGTTGAATAAGCAGTTTTTCGTGATATATATATATATATATATATATATATATATATATATATATAAATGATGGCATAGGTTTACTTACATAAACAAAATAGATACTACAGTCAAAATAATGAGCTATATATTGTTGTGAAATATTGTAAACCAGCTACGAAAATTTAGCGGACAGCAGAGCTCATATATGTTCATAAGTTGAAGTATTTTGCTAAAACACTAGCTTATATTTATTTTAACTGATCAGATAAAAGATTAAACTCAAATAAAACCACTGGTTATCACCGAAGGCGATGTCAGCTAATGTAAGAGTATATTGGGAGAAAATTAAACTCAGGCTAACCAAGACATGAAATCAGTTCATTAGGTCGCTTAGTGTTAGGTTGGTGTATAGTAGTGCATGTAGATTAACTGGTTTAGGTCTAGGCGATTATCATAATAAATGGTTGAAGATGTTGAATGCTACGACTCAGTATAGGTCAGATTATTGAAAATGTATTCATTATTTGTTTCCTCTAAATCTTGAGTTTTAAAATTCTTATACATTTAATCTTCAGAATTCATTCCTTCTTCTCAAGACATTGTATATAATTATTATATTCTTCTACTACTAATACTATTTCTATCTTAATTACTCTAACCCTATTCTTCATATTTTCATCTCGCTGTTCTGATATAATGTAGCAGCTTGAACTGACGCACATGTATACCAGGTTTAACATCATTTCTGACCGAATAAGTAACTAATAGATTGTCATTATGTTCCATTGAAATCAAGTAGTTATTAAACACATCAATAGAAAACAAATTTATAGTCAAGTCACAACTACTCAATCTATCCTAGAAAGTTACAATTATTTTTAAAGTCGTAAAAGTATCTTTATTTCACAAGTATTGAAATATTAAGAATCTAGTTTATTGATCCACTTTGTTTTACTTAATCATTTAGAATGGAAATTTGACTATGAAATTAAGAAAACAAAAAGTGAAACTGTCTTTATCATTCATATGAACACATTCTTACCTATTTATATATAATTCATTTTGTAATCCATTGAATAATAACGAAATTTAATGATGATATTCTCAAAACATAAAAAAAAATGTACGATTTGAATCAATTTTAGTATGAATAAGCCATGATCTCTTTTTGTGTACAAATATTCAGTATAGATTCTGAAAATGTTCTGTGTCTAATAAGTGATACATTTTTATAGTTTCATCTGTATAATGTTAATAGGTATCACATAAAGTGAAAATAGTTTGACAAAACTCATTAAACATTACCAAATCATTTTATTTTAGTTACTGTCAATTCAATCTACATAAAATATGCTAATTCATTATTCACGTTAATTATTTCATGAGTGTTTGGTTCTTCATTCTGAATTTGCTTACATTTTTCATGATCCAGTTTTCATTACAAATTGATATCAGTTTTAGAGTTATAATTCTTCTTTAACTTTATAATTTAGTCGATTTCCAATATAGGTATCCCTAAATAATTTCGTATATATCCTGTAAAACAGTAAGTTCACATAATTCTGAAGCAAAAACTAAATAAGGAAATGTATTATGAATAGTTTATTTCAGGAGTTTATTTGAGCAGATAAATCATTAAAGATAATGTAATTCAGATGAAATTGGCATAATCAATTCAATTCCTTTATATTTCAGCTTACGTAGTTCATACAGATATGATAAAGTAACCTAATAGATAAAAAAAACGGATAGAGTAGGTAATAAACAGACAAGAGCACAGATGAAGCATAGACAAAGAGTACAAGCACAGAACTAACAAGGATAGGGATAAAAGTGACTTATATGTCACATACTATCAAGATTATTATTATATGTTCAAAAGTTAAAATAACATTGAACTATGAAGCCACTATTGAACCACTAAAATGATGATAGTTATTTCTTCCTAAACTCTACTCAGAATTCAAATAAAGTCTTACTCAAAATGTCAATGCCTATCGATGCTGAAAATATTATTTGAACACTAAGTCAAAATTTAATGGTAATCATTTTCTTCATGGAATCATTTCATTGAAAGTCAAATGGATATCCAGTGTAATTCTTTAGTAACTGGCTGATTCTTGAACTGTTCAATTCAATAAGTCATTACTTTTCAAAAGTAGTATTACCGGTACAGAAACTGATTTTTAAAATATTTAATAAACAAAATTTATTCAAATTAATACGTTAGATAATATTATTGAACATTGATCTTATTTTATATTAGACGCTGTAGATTACCGATGATTCCATGTGGTCACGACAAAAGATAAATTATTAGAGTTGACTGAGTACTTCGTGACGTTGTTTCATTTTTTTCTCTTGGTTATTGATGATCTTGATATTTTACTATCTATAGTCCATAATTACGGTGATTTCAACGATTGCTACCTTTTATCAATCTACATATAAATGTATAATAGTTCGATAAAGACACATTCAATTTATTTTAATTTCGAATCTATAAAATTCTATTTTAATCTACATCAATGGAAGACAAGTGTCCATTATATGAAACTTGGCAACAACAACAAAACATAACTCATAACTTTTCAGTTAGTTAATAACCCAACTGACAAAAATTAAAATCGTTTTAACAACTTTTATTTGAATCAATTAGAAACAACAGATGATCAGTAATTGAAAATATAAAAAAGTAATGATACGTTTAGATGAAAAATAAATTGACTGAGATTATGCTGAATTAAAAAAAACAATAGTCTATTTTCACTTCATTTATAAGAGTACATATTTTCTCATTGTTGATGTTATGGAATTCAATTAATTAGTCTATATTAGGATATTTACATTCTGAAGAGATTCCCATGATATTATCATTTAATTGCAAGTTTCTAGTAAAACTAAATAGTAACTAGGGCTGGAATTCAGAAGACTAATCAATTGAAGTCTTTAATACTAACAACAGAAAAATAAAGACGTTTTAAAATCAAATGAAAACTTACATTTTTTTCAATATACTCTCAATTACTGTTTCGACTGATGAATTTTTTATAGTTACTGGTTAGAATTTTATTCTTTTAGTCAAATGTTTCATTTCTTTAACTAAGTAGATTGATAAAGAAGGAAGGTGATTCAGTAAAGAAAATCTCCTTTTAGACAAATTCATCTACTTAGACTGTATACTATTATTCATAGTTAATTCCATTTACGAAACTCAACTCCGAACATTACGTCGTCTGGTTGTCCAAAGGATTACAGAAGTCAATCAAAAGCTTAGTCTTGGAGAACCTAGCCAATTATGTTCAATCCGTTTCACCAAAATCCTCCTTTGGAAATATGTATACATTCAGAAGAATTGGATCAATAAGAATGCAAATGAAAAACTTATGTACAGAAGAGGCTATTGATATCCACCAATTTAAGCCTAACGTTTGCATACAAAAATAGTATGTTCAATCCTCCATTCTTCCATGGCTCTAACCTCTTTTTCTACCTCCCATAATCTATCATTTTTATTTATTTACATTACCATTCCTGCCCTATCCCAGTTACTTTCACAAAAATTAATCAGCAATTATTACAACTTTTAGTAGTTCTGTTCCTAATAGCTATTAAATGGATGACTATTTTATCCTACTACTTTTTCATTAGCCCTTTATTATATTATTTTTTTTCAACAACTGAACTTTAACTTTTGAAAGCACACCACTTTAGGTTTTTTAATTAATTAGCATCTCTCTTTCTCAATATAGACCACTATTTTAGCAAATAAAATTGACTATAAATACGATTATTCAGCTTCAGTTATTGAAATCGTCGAAAAGAAAATTTTCTTCATTGAATTGCCTTCCTTCTTCAATGATACAATCGGTCTATTTTACATAAATACATTTGGTTTGTGCTGACATTATGTAGAATATTCGCCTCTGTGAACGAGAGTTTTGTGGGCTGGTCAAGAATTAAGTAAAAATAAATTAATCAGCTATTCTAGTTATCTATGTGAATGGTAAAATATTGACTGATTGATTTGAAACGTTGGATTGATTTGTCAATCCACCAGTTATAAAATAAATTTTTTTCCTTCCTTAGAAAATTTACAGTTCATCATTGTTCTACTAAGTTAGAAATAAATGAATAAGCGAAATGTAAAGACATTCCCTATACATAACTTCTTTCATATAACAATTCTAATCTCTGTACTTATTTCTATTTTTCTTATTTTTATAGGTTTCTACGATTATTATTAACTGTATTCTTCTGTGGTTTCGTTTTGTGTCAAACAGTGAATAGCCAATACAAAGAGGTAGACTTTAATCATGTAGATCCTGATGGATATAATGCATTATATGATGAAGATCCTAATTACATTCAAAAACGTGTTCAATTTCTACGTCTTGGTAAAAGATTAGCCAGGAAATCTGCTTATCCTTATGTTGGTTAAACATTATGCTGATTTCATTAAAAGATAACTTATAAAAAACAACTGTTTAACAAAAATACAAATTTTTAAAATGAAACTAAATTAATATATAAGTAATTATTTACTAAACTCTGTCTTTTTATTCTAGTAAACAGTGTAGCACACTTTTTCATCTTATTTTCCGTAATAATTATCTAACCATCATATAACTTAATTATGAATGTAGATATATCTTCCTTAAAATGTACTCAATATGACAAATGAAGAAGACTTAGTCTTATCCATTATAAAAATAAGAAGAATTACATAAGGATTATGAAAGTTACTGTACCGCTCCACTTTTAGTCATGTAACTGTTCGGTTCATCGAAATAATTTGATTTTGGTATCTTGTCATTGTTAGAATCACTGACCAATGTCATGTGTTACTAATACTTTAGTGCTACTAATCGAATTCAATCGACCATGTAACAATGTGAAAACTATTTTAGATGATTTAATATTGTGTTTACTACATTGAAATGACAATTATTTACAAAGAAAATTATCAACCTAGATTTAATGCTAGTTGCAACTTTTAGTAAATTGTATCTGGAAGCATGTGAGATAGCTCTATAGTAATCCCTTATTCTTTGAAGCTACGTGATGCGGTCTCGAACCCAACAAAAAATATAAGTCACTTCACTGTTGCATATACGCCTTGCTGAAAAGTGTGAACCAGAGCGAAATCTATATCTAAGATTTCCTTCCAATTACATACAACCACCTGAAATATTAAATAAACTTTAACTAACACTGAAATAATACTCTAAATATCTTTAGTAAGTAGTAATTATAATTATAAACTTATTGAACTATACAGTCATTAGCATATCAAAATTCATGCGTGCAAAAATTTAATTACTTAGAAATTATAATTATTTCTACTATAGTAAGTGAATTGTTTAAACTGATTATTCTCTCAAATAAACGTTTTGAATGTCTCGTTAATTTAACTATGTATTTCTTCCATATTTATATTGGCTTTTTTTATTTCTAACACTCTTATTCCACAAATATTCGTTCACAAAATATGTCATTTATTTAAATTCAAACTATACAAAATGAATTTAAACTTCACCTCATTGCACAAGCTAATGGTAATCAATACTCAGTAAGTAAGTGGACAATGCGATGGCGTTTGAAGCGAACGGTACTGGGTTTGAGTCCCTCAGTGAATATCAACTTTAAGACCCAGGTACATTCGGCTGACGAGTTCGAAACAAGACGAAACTCTCTTATTGAATTTCCCTACTAACCATCATCCATTTTTGCTTATTATGTCATTCATTTGTTGGTGTTTTGAATATCTGTGTAAGAAGATAAAATAGTTTTATACCACCTAAATGCACGAATCCATTCATTAAATCAAATAGAATCAATCGCAAGAACAAAAAACAAATCAAATAGATTCAACTGTTTATGAAAAAACCTTCCAACGATTTTATAGGTTCTATTTGTTTTACACTCATCTTACTTTGTGTTTATAGTTTAACTAATACGGAATAACGTTTAAATGGATGATTTAATATAGAAAATTCATAGAATGGTTGATCGTCTAATAAAAATGATAGAATGTTTTGAAATAAAATGATATTAAAATTCATTTTATAAGATTACTTGATCTTAAACTGTTCCAAAGATTATGATAAATAGTCGACGAATCACTTTCACGAATAGATCAAATAGACATATATATATATATATATATATATATATATATATATATATATATAGAATAGTTGTTCATAATTTAACAGTATTTCAGTATGGAACACATTAATCAAACCTACAACTACTTTTAAGGTAAATAAATTGGTAATAAATCTTAAATGGATCAAATCATCATAAACTGATAGCATTAAAACGATTGATAATTTGGTATAAGTATTTAAAAGTACATTATAATCAATATACGAGTAAGATTATTCGAGTAAATTTGTCAAGGATACAAATATACCAAAAGAGAATGATTGATTGAAATCCTAAATATCTAAGAAAAGATTCAAATAACCAATAAAAATGAATCAAAGTGCATCAGATTCCACAAATTGGAGGCTATCTGTACTCAGTAACCAAGTGGATAATGCGTTGAAGTTTGAAGTGAAGAGTATTAAATTTGAAATTAGGAAGGAATAGCAACTCTAGGATACAGGTGTATGTAGTCGATGAGTCCCAAATATAAGACTAATTCAGCGTCATGCATTCCACTGCTAAACATAATCCATCACTTCTATAAAACTTGTGATAAAATAGACAAATAGAAGATATACTTACAGGATGTACATATGCTGAAACAATTGATTATTTGTAGTTTTAGAAATCTGGTTAGCGTTTCTTTAGCGAGTTAGTTTTCTACGGGATGGGGTCGCTAACATCATGCCCAACCCTCCTCCATTATCCGGGCTTGAGACAGACAGTAACTCTAAAAGAGCTACAGGCTGAGCTACACTCCCTTCCTCTTTCTTCTGGTGGTCGACTGGATTATGAAAACCTCAACATCTAAGGAAAAACACGGAATACAATGGATAGCTCAGAAACAACTAGATGATTTGGACTTCATAGATGACCTAGCCCTCCTATCCAAAACACACGAATAAATGCAGATAAAGACAGCCAGTAAAGCAACCAATATCAAAGTCAGAATCTTCAATACGAACATCAAGGCGGTTCTATTGTACGGAGCTGAAATGTGGAGAACTACTACAAACATCATCAAGAAGGTACAAGAAATTATAAATAGTTGTCTACGCAAGATACCCAACATCCATTGACCAGATACCATCAGCAACAGTCTTCTGTGGGAGAGAACAAACCACCTTCCAACTGAAGAGGAAATTATTAAAAGACGATGGAAATGGATAGGATATACATCACGCAAATCATCAAACTGCATCACGATGCAAGACCCAACTTGGAATCTTGATGGGTAGCGGAAAAGAGGAAGATCGAAGAATACATTACGTTGGGAATATAAAATTTTAAAAAATCATGGTTGGCCTTAAACTTAAAAAAATTAGGAAGAATCATTCTGTCGAAATTTAAGCAAGTTTTCTATCCAAATAATTTTACTATCTACGTTTATATTATAACTTTACAGAAGATGAAATCGTGTATTATGCTCAATCTAATCTTATTTCTTCTACAATTATTCTTTATTATTTTGAGATATGTGATAGTTTTAACTAATACACCTTTACACATTGTATAATTATCAATTTGTTTACTCATTTAAACAGCACTTCCTATATTTGTTTCAAAACGAAATGACCGCCCAATGCTCCTAGGTTTTTCATAGTGGTCTAGCTTCAATTGACTCATGATCTCAGCTATTAAATTAAAGATTATCAAATTATTTTAAAGATTTATAGATGGATTTGGCATTTTAGTAAATACTATATATATCATGCACAATAAAAAATTGGAGATCACTTAATGATTATTAGATTTTTATTAAGATACTTTAAAATATTTTCCATAAAGCTTCGAATTATCATAATATACATTGAATAATGTAAATATAAGGTGATTGTTTAAACTTGTAGTGGCTGTGCTTCGTTAACCAATCACCATCGTAACCGTTATCATATAATCCTCAACGTTGTTTGAAATCAGAAGGCAAAGAGAAGCAGCGACCACAGTTTTATTAGCAGATAACTCAGACCACAAAGCAGAGAGGCGAATGAGTGAGTCAGCGAACCGCTAGTGTAGAGTGTTAAACGTATATATATATATATATATATATATATATATATATATATATATATATATATATATATATATATATATATATATATATTAAGCAGCTAATAATAAAGCTAGCAGAATGAATATATTTGTAGGCAGTAAGCAGTGTTCAAGCATACATATTTCATACAAGCACAACAATAATAAAGATGCAATAAATTGTTATAGTACTGATGACTCTGTCCGCTAAATAAGTTGACAAATGGGCTTAACCGAATTATATGTGACCAAACTCAGTTGCACGTGAGCTGCTATAAACTAACTATTGTATCAATCAAGTCTTATTTCGGATAAAGGACTTATTTTAAAATTGATTCGATAATCGTGAATATAACTTTAAAACTCAATGCTGATGCCATTGGTTACTTTAATTATTGCGCGCAATTATAAATACTGTTTAGTTCAGTAAGTTATTTACAGTATTTGATTTCATTACATAAGTTTATGTGAAAACAAACTATTGATGTCATAAACTGCTCGGTTTTTATTACGATTATTAGTATACTGTTAAGAATGTATGTGTCTTCAAAAATGTTGAATACATAATATCCAACGAAATAGTTAAATTTACTTAACTCAGTAATAGTATCAATAACTGGAAATTTGAAGTAATTCAAAGGGATTATCAGTCAGTCAAACTCAACGAAAAACCTAAAATATGAGTACATTGATTCAAGTTGTCATAACCCATTAACAGAGTGAGATGAACTTATTAAACCAAATTCCAAGATAGTTGAGTTAGTAACAGTATCAGAAACGATAGGAAAGATTAGGCATCAAAGATATGACTCGAAAAGAAAATGTAAATTATAGAAATTAAAAAAAATTAAGAAGAATTCAGGAGCTTGGGATCTAAGAGAAAACAACGAGCTGATTTGACTGCGCCATTCAATGTATTGAACCACTGGTTACATTAATCACTCAGACGACAACCAGATAATCTGCACCTGTCAACATAATTCAGTCTAATTATCAACGAATTCATAGACTGGTGTGATATCTTTGTTTAGCCCCTCCACCACCTTTCTTTCAACCTACTCCTACACCAGATAATATTGCCTGTAGTGGTACAAGGTAGACGTGGATACGTAAAAAATTCCTACCTCATCAATCAATTTGTCATGATTATCTAGTATACTGTTCCTGACCTAGAGATTACTTGCTCCATGTTCCCGAAATACACGAGTAACGCATTTAAAACACCTATGATCAAATACAAGTAACTTATGAATATCCTTTATTTTTAATGCCCATGTTTTACACCTATTATTACAGATTCTATGAGAAGAATAAATTAGACAAATGATTATATTGTACATAATGATTTCTTTACTAATAGATTAT